TGGCATGGGGCCAGACCCAGAGCAGGGAGTCACTGGATATGTATGGAATGTAAAACGGGATGTTTTATAACTCAGTGGTGCCTGCATGGACTAATGGTCCAGAATTTGACATCAGAAGTCAGACAAACCTGAGTTTGAAACTAATCTTGCCACTTCCTGACTATGTGGTCTTGGGCAAATGCCTTCACCTCCCTGGGCCCCAGCTTTCCCTTAGAGTAAGGGTGATGGTTTATAACATCGTAATCACAGCTGACATTTACACAGCCACACATCGCTTAACGATGGGGATACGTTCTGAGAAATGTGACATTAGGTGATTCTCTTGTTGTGTGAACATCACCGAATGCACTTACACAAACCCAGATGGTACAGCCTGCTACACACCTAGGCTCTATGGCACTGATCTTGTGGGACCACCATTGTACATGCAATTGTCGTTGACCGAAACGTCGTTATGCAGCATGTGACTGTACAGTACTCTTTTGGGCCTGTACTGTTCTGATCACTTTACCTGGGTTAAATCATTTCATTAACTTAACTCTTATTCATTTAACCTGCCTCTATGAGATGGATCCTGTGGTGATACCCATTTTACAGCTGAGTAAATCAAGGCTGAGTCACTTTACTGAAGTGAGGTCGCTTGCTTGGGCCCACGGGACTTGTGACTTCTTTGTGCTTCTCTGGGCCTCAGTTTCATCTGAAAACCCAGGACCCGATACCTCTCCAAGGAGACAGCACAGGGCAGTCATCAGGGGCCCTGGAGCCCGGAGTGGGGGGCTTGGTAGGCACCTGAGCCCTCCTTACCTTGGATTCCCCACCCTGGTCCACAGGGAGCAGCTCCCCGAGTCGGCCTACATGCACCAGCTCTTGGGTCTCAACCTTCTCTTCCTGCTGTCCCAGAACCGGGTGGCTGAGTTCCACACAGAGTTGGAGCGGCTGCCTGCCAAGGACATCCAGACCAATGTCTACATCAAGCATCCCGTGTCCCTTGAGCAAGTGAGGCAGGCGGGAGGGCGGGCCGGGCTAAAGGAGGTGGGATGGGGACACGTTAGGGGGGGTTTCCTGGAGGAGTGGGCAGGCTCCGCCCATCTTTGAGCCCGTGGACTCATTCATCCAGCAGATACTGAGGCTCAGCCGGGTGCCAGGCCCAGGGGTTGGTTTTCAGACTGTGTGGTGAACAGATAAAAGCCCTGCTCTTGTGGGGATGACGTCCGGGTGAGGAAGCAGACAGTGCACGAAAAGCTTCAGTAACCTGTATGGTCCATCAGATGGAAGTGCTCTGAGAAAAATAAAGCGGGCAGGGCGTGGAGCGTCGGGGCCAGGGGTGAAATTGTTTATGAGGGTGGCCAGGGAAGGCCTTGCTGGAAGGGGAGATTTGAGAAAGACATGAAAGGGGCGAAGAACCCAACCCCCTGGAGCTCTGGGGGGAGAGTGATCCAGGTGGGGGGAGCAGCCAGTCCAGGGGTCCCAAGGCAGAAGCATGCATGGTGTTGGAGGCTCAGCGAAGAGGACAGTGCTTGTGAAACTGGGCGCACAGGCTCAGGGCGGAGCCTCAGTTCTAAGGTTAGAAGCAGTTCCTGGAGCGGAGGTCTTGTGAGAGGATTTGGCTTTGGGGAGAGGATGTGGGGGCAGGTACAGCAGGAAGCAGAGCTTGGACAAAGGTGTGGAGGATTGGGCTCGGCGTGGACCCAGCTCTGTCTTCCTCCTGGGACTGAAGACTAGATGAGATAGTTAGATACCAGCCCAGGGCAGCTTTGGAGTGCATGCATGTGTACAAACCGAGGAGGGCTTCCTGGCGGAGGAGGTGCGCAGTGTGCATGGGGAATGGGTGACTGTATGGCAGAGGGTGTTCTAGCAGGATTGGGGTTCTGGAGGCACCGGGAGCAGGGTGAGGCCTCGGCGCCTGTGCTGCCTCTCCCTCATCCTCTCTTCTTCCCCACCCCGGCCTCTGCAGTACCTGATGGAAGGCAGCTACAACAAAGTGTTCCTGGCCAAAGGCAACATCCCTGCCGAGAGCTATACCTTCTTCATCGACATCCTGCTTGACACCATCAGGTGCGGGGGCCAGGGCCCTGTGGGGCTCGGGGAGAACTTGTGGAGTCTCGACTCAAACAGCCCTGAGTTTGACTCCCGTTCTGGCCCCTGTGCTCTGCGGAGGCTGACACATCAGTTCTCCTTTTCTGCAGACTGACCCGGTGGTGAGACTGTGGATGGCGGCCCTCCCTCCCTCGGCTGTATGCAGTGGGTGGTGGGCGGTGTCCCGAGCACTACCCGGGTGTGGTGCCCAGATAGCACTCGGCAGAGCAGGGCCACGCTGCCATCTTGGAAGTGCTCCAGCCCCCTAGTCATGGGACCTCCCCTCCAGTCACCTCAACTGTGCATCCCTCAGTTTCCCCTTTAGAATGGGGCCATCCAGTTCCCGCTTGGGTTGCTGTGTGCACAAGTGACATCACACGGGCAGGTGGGCTTGAGAAGTAAAAGGGTGTCCAGGTGGTGGCAGAGCTGGTTCACTCAGGCAGAGTGCTGGATGGAGATGAGTTTCCATTCCTCGGGTGGCAGAGCCCGGCCCAGAGACGAGGTGGGAAGCAGGAGGGGTAGTTGAGTGGGTTTAGGTTATTTTTAATTATGAAATATTTCTGCTCTCCAAAACGAACAGGGAGTGGTGTAATGAGTGCCCGCATACCTACCGCTTGGCCTAAGAGATAGCATCCCTCAGAAATGGGTGCATGCTCCCCAGCACTAACCCCTGCTCCTGTTTCAGTCCCTCAGTGCCTCTTGTCAGGGGTGCGAGGAACCCCCTCTGAATCAGATCTAGAAATGGTGTTAGGTGGGGAGGTCCACTCACGGGGATCCCGGGTTGTGTTTCAGACAGCATGAAGGCCTCGTGGCTGCGAGCAGGATTTGGAGTGTGGCCCCTCCTGTGGCCCTGGCCTTGCAACTCTGGTCAGGCTGTCCTCTCTCTGAGCAGGAGAGTTGTTAAAAAGGGCAGGTGACAGATTCCAGCCATCAGCGCTGAACCAAAGGGTCAGGGCGCACACGTGTCGGGGGGGACGCGGCCTGGAGAGTCATCCGTGCTCAGTAACGAGAACCCCGTCTTCCCCCAGGGATGAGATTGCTGGGTGCATCGAGAAGGCCTATGAGAAAATCCTCTTCACTGAGGCCACTCGGATCCTCTTCTTCAACACACCCAAAAAGATGACAGACTACGCCAAGAAGGTGGCTGGGGTCAGGGTGCCGGGTGTGGGGCTAAGGGGTGCGTTCCCTGACAGCAGGGTGGGGTGGTCTGGGGGACACTGGAGCAAGACTACCCATGTTTAAATCCAGCTATGTGACCTCAGGCAAGTTGCTGGACTTCTCTGAGCTTCAGTTTCCCCATCTGTAGAATGAGGCTAGAGTGTAAGATGTGGGATGAGCCTAGCTGAGCCCCTGGCACCAGTGAGGTGGGCACTCAGCACGCCTTGACTCTTGTCCTTGCCCTTATTCCTTGGAGGCTGCAGCTTTTCCCCATAAGACTTTGGTCCATTTGCTCCGGGGTATTTTTGCAAGAGCAGGGTCCCGGAGATGTGGGTGCGCAGGGTGCAGTGACCCTGGGGACTGGGGAGGCTCGAGACCAGACTGGAAGAGGTGAAATTGAACCGGAGTGGTCGTGACGGCTGGTATTTAGTGATCGTTTACTCGGCCAAACACGATTCTCCACGCTTCAGGGCCTTGATTCACTGACTCCCCACAGTGGACCCCGAGAGCTGTGTGATGAGGGTCCCTGTCTCAAACATGGAGAAACTGAGGCACAGAGAGGGGGAGTTACTTGCCTAGGGTTGTGTGGGTGAGTAGGGCTGGTGAGGGAAGTGAGCCAGGGCCCACTTGAGGTCAGTGCTGGCCCTGCGGGGTGGGGAGGGAGCCCGTGTGGTCACTCCCTGCCTCCTCCCTCTTTCCTGCAGCGAGGGTGGGTCCTGGGCCTCAATAACTACTACAGCTTTGCCAGCCAGCAGCAGAAGCCGGAAGATACCACCATCCCCTCCACGGAACTGGCGAAACAGGTCATCGAGTATGCCCGGCAGCTGGAGATGATCGTCTGAGCACCCGGGCCCTGGGGGGCAGCTGGTTATTTAAGACCCCTGAGGCCTCGCAGTCCCGGGTCACCCGGGTCTCCAATAAAGGTGGATCGACACTCTCTCCCAGGCCCTTGTCTCCCCGGGGAATGGTGGGCACACCGTTCTTATCTCTAAAGAGCTGGGAAGTTTGGGGGCCTTGGGGGGTCTGAGATAACCCTCTGTCTGGGTCAGCTCTGTCCAGTGGCCATTGCCCCAGGTCTCAAACACACATCCACTGCAGGGGCCCAGTGGCACTGTGGCTGTGGGAGAGTGCAGGCCCTGGGTGGAGGGACTGTTGCAGCCAGCTGTGGACACAGGAAGGCCAGGCCAAGGCACCAGAGTTTGTCAGTGAAGGGGGTGAAGTGTCCTATTTTAAAAAATATTTGCAATGAATTAAACCAGTTTTGTACATGATGTACGAAAAGGAACCCGTCTGTGGGCTACCAGTTCAAGACCTCGGGTGGATGAAAGGTGTGGGCCCTGGGTGGCCTCGTCCTGGTCCCCAGCCTTCTTGAGCCAGGGCTGGGACTTAGAAGCTCCCGCACCCCCAGCCTGTTTTCCTGAAGGTGTTTAAGGCAGAGTCCACATCTGGCCGAGCCATCTGTGGGATGTGGGATTTCCAAGAAAGTCTTCCGGAGTCAGTTTCCCGGCTGTAAGCTGAGAGTGACCACTCCTGCTTCTGCAGTGATTGTGCTGGATCCCTGAGTTTGGCCCCAGATCAGCTGAGCAACGGGGCTGGGGTGTTAAGGGGACTGAGACTGTCTCACCCCTGGGCCCGGCAGTCTGGGTGCTGGATGAACGGAACCTTCTTTACTGCTGCACTGCCTGCAGCCGCCTTGTGTCCCCAGGATGTGGTGTGTTCATGCTCTGCCACACCCCTCCACCCTTCACAGGTGACCGACAGGCAGCTAGGCATCTGGATGTTATTTTATTGTCGAGGAGGGGAAGGCAGAGGGCACTGAGCACGCTGCTCAGTTGGAGTGGGTGGCCTGCAAGTCGTAGTGCTCCAGCCCGGCTACCAGCGAGCCAGCCAGCTTGATGGTGGCGACCCAGGGCGGCTCACTTAGGTGGTTGGTGGGCGTGCTCAGCCTAGGGGAGGGTGGAATCAGCAGGGCCTGCTATGTGGCCAGGCCCTCAGCCCTTTAGGCTTCACTTTCCCTGTCTGTGTAGGGGCCACGTCTGAATATCCCAGAGGCAGTCTAGGGCAGGCCCATCCACTTAAACTTAGCAGGAAAGGGGGCTGATGGTTGGGGTTAGTGTCCCCCACACCTACCCCAGGTCTTAGCTGAGCACCAGGGGTTCAAGGCAGAGGGTCTGTCAGTGACTCAGACAGGTCCTGGTGACCAGATGCTGAGATCCAGTGTGGGGGAGGGGGACCTGGAGCATGCACTGTCTCCTGGGATCTGAGGACTCAGCACAGCAACTGGGGCGTCAGTGCCCTCTGGCGGTCAGCGCCTGGGTCCCAGAGTCAGGAGAAGTTGCCAAGGCTGGAGGGAGGGCTCAGCAGTGTGGGGCCAGGCCGGGGCTTCCTTCAGAGGCCTGCGTTTACATCCATTTGGTTCCAGAAGACATCTCCTCCCCTCCCGTTCCTGAGCAGCCTGGGACGTGGCCCCTCTTGGTGCCCTCAGGCACAGGGTCAAGGCCCTGAATAGGGTCCGGCCAGCTGGGACCAGCTTCCTTCCCTGGTGGTTCCAGAGAGTAACGAGAGGGCCAAGGGTCAGCTTGGAGGTCTGGGTACGGGCCCTGTCAGGGGTCAGTATAGTGTCAGGACTCCTTGGTCCTGAAGGATTGGAGCTCAGCTGCCTTTGAAATGCAGCCAAAGGGAGGGTCACGAGTCAGCTGGGGTCAGGACACCAAAGGGCTCAGCGGGTCTCTATCCGGGAAGGTCGAGTTCAGGTTTCCTGGGGGTATTCTAGGAAGTCCGCCCTTCCCTACTCCCTGACTTCTCCTCACCAGGCAGACACGTTGCGTGGCAGGCGACGATGGCGCGGTTGGTGGCGACAGTAACACTTGCAGGGACACGAGTTAAGCACCTGAAAGGGCGGCCAGTGGCGCGCGGCGCCCGTGGTGGCCGTCCCCGCCGGAGGAGCCCCGCCGCCACCACTCCCTCCGCCGCTGTCAGTCACAGCAGCTGCAGTCTGTTCGTGAGGGCCGTCTCCAGGCGCGCCGTTCTCACGGGTCGCGCCCCGGGCTGCGCGGGAGCCCTTGTTCCTGCGCGTGCGGGCCTTAGGCGCGGGCGGGGGCGGCGATGGCTCGGCCGTAGTTGGAGTTGGAGCTGGAGCCGGGGACGGGGCCTGGGCCGGAGATGGGGCCTGGGCCGGAGATGGGGCCGGGGCCGAGGCCCGGGCTGGGGCCTGGTCGGCAGCCAGGGCAAGGGGCAGAGCGGGAGCCGGGGCGGGAGCCGGGGCGGGAGCCAGGGCCAACTCCAAGTCGCCTGGGCCTGGGGTGGGCGGGGGCGCCACGGGCAGCGGCGTGGGCTGGAGCACCGGCGGCTGCGGGGTGGGCGGCGGCTGCGGGGTGGGCGGCGGAGCGGGAGGCGGCGTGGGTGGTGCCCTGGGCGGCGGCGGCGGCGGCAACTCCTGCGGGCCGGGAGGCCCGGGGCGCACAGGCTTGCCATTGGTGGGCGCCGGGAAGATAAACATAGGCGGCGCCAGCAGGGCGGGCGAGGGCCTGCGGGGCCCAGGAGCCGGGTGCATCTGCCCCGGCAGAGGCGGCGGGGAGCCCCAGGGACCTGAGAGCGCGGCCCCGCGCCGTCGGGGCGACCCGACGCCCCCGCCTGCTCCATTAAAGCGGAAATGGCGTTCAGGGCCATCGGGAGGGCTCACCCAGTCAAATTTGGGCTTCGAGCCTGGGAAGGTGGTGTAAGGTGGTGGCGGAAGGGTCCCGGCGTGGGTCGCTGGCGCCGAGGGGCGTCCAGAACACCCCTCGCCGTCTCCATCACCGCCCTTTGCTTCCTGAGTCCCCCGAGGGACGTCTCCCGAGGGCCGAGCGGCCCCCGGAGCCAGGCGCCCCTGCTTTAGGACCTCAGCGTAAGAGATGGCGCCCGAGGTGGAGGAGAAGAATCTTCCACCTCCGCCGCCCCCGAGCGAGGCTTTGGTCGCTAAGGAACTCGACGCCGCTGCAGGGGGCAACGGGGGCCCCAACTTGAAGGTGACTTTACACAGCAGGCTGAGGCCAGGCTCCGAGGCCGCAGGCCGGGCCATCTCGCCCTCGCCGGCCTGGGGAAGCGCCCCACCGCAGGCCCCGCCGCCCGCCTGGCCTTCGCCGCCGTGCCCGGCCTGGCTTTCTGCAGGGGCGGCGGCGGGTGTGGCCAGCGCGGGGGCGATTCTGCGCTCCGGGGGCTGGCAGTCGGAAGGTGGCGGCGGCAGCGGCTTCCGCGGCTCCATGGGCTGCGGAATCGGGGTTGGGGTCCTCGGGACAGGGTCGGGGTCCTCTTCCATCAGTTGCCGGGGCGGCGGCGGCGGCGGCAGCGGGCGGAGATTCGGAGGGTCGCCCTGGCCGCGGTGGCTCGCCTCCAGCAGACCGCGGATTCGGGGCACCGGTGGGCCCGTGGGTTTTCGCCACTTAGACGGCGCGGGCATCAGGGTCCCCACGGGGGGCGGGGGTGGTGTGGAGACCGCGGCCGCAGCCGCCTCCTGAGAAAGGGGCGTCACTGGCGAGGGCAGTTCTAAGGTCGGGGGCAGGGGTGAGGGTGAGGCCTGGGGCTCCGGGGGAACCAGGAGTCCCGGGGGTGCGGAGCTGCCGGGGAACCAGACGCCCAGCCCGCGAGCCAGGCGCATGGCCGGGGAGGAGGGGGTGACCTCGGGCTCCGCCAGGGACGTCCGGCGGGAGTCGGAGGAGCGGTCCGAGGCCTGCTCTTTTCGGGAGCCCCCGCCTGCGGACGGCTCCGACTGCACGTTCCCCATTTCTGACGGAGGTCGGGGACTGTGGTCAGAAAAACTTCCTCCAGTCAGTCTGCCAGGATTGTGGGGACCCCCACGAGGCTGGCTGTACGTGGTCCTACCCGTCCCCATCGGCCCCGCCCCTGTCCTCCAAGATCCACTCAGGCACTCGTCTCCAGCCTCATTCCTGTTCCCTGACTCTTGACACTCACGCCTTCTTCCCCATGGCCCCATACAGCTGCTGTTCAGCCACTTAGGCCCCATCCTCTTAGTGTACTAAGGTTCGGTCCCTGTCCCCCTGGCTGGTCCCTCAGATCACATCCCTACACTTGGGCCACGTCTCCAAATTCCAAGACACACGTCTTGCCTCCTTTCCTGGCAGTCACCCAGGCCACATCATGATGATGGTACTCAGTAGCCTCTACGGCCTACAAGGAGTTCAAGCTTCTCTCCCTCACTTTAACCGGGCTCTTGAGGCCCAGGCGCCGTCCCCGTCCCCTGGTCCCGCCCGGGTCGTCAGGAGTCCAGCCTCGTCAACCACCCCCCAGTTCTGGCCCCGTCTCCGTCTAACATACCGGGTATTCTTGTCCTGCTAACCCCTCAGTCCTCACCAATAGCCCTCCAATCCCTCTCTCTGTCCATCACTTGGGTGAGGTCCAGCCCTCTGGAAAGAGGCAGATCCTCAGGCCTGGCTCCTAAACTTCTGTTCCCGCTTCGGATCTGCCCGCAGGCCTCACCGCTCAGGCCCCACCCCTCTCCCCAAGCTCCGCCCTGGCTCCGCCTTCGCCCAGACGTTGCCACTCACCGACTGCTGCAGCCCACCTAAGTTCAGACCGCGGCCCCCTGGGCCCAGGGCAGGGCGGGGAACGGCCGTAGCAGAAAATAACCGAAAAGAACGGGGGTGCGGGTGAAGGCAGGTAGGCGAGCCAGCGAGGGCAGACCCCGAGGCCTAGGCCCCGCCCCCTCGAGGCCACGCCCCCGTGAGCCAGCTTGAGCCCGGCCCCCTACGAACCTGGATCTCCCTTTGAAATACTACTCCGTTGTCTTCTTCCCCGCCCCCAGGCCTGTAGCCCTGGGTCCCACCCCTTTCGATCGTTCTCCTTGGCTCCGCCCCTCTGCAATGCTCCGCCCCTCTCCGTTAGTCCCTATCCCGAAGCTCCGCCCATTATGAACACGGCTACGTAGCTCCTCCCTTTTGGCTATTTCTTGCGCCCCGCCCCTACGACAATTTACTTCTAAACTTCGCCCTTTTAGGACCCCGCAACATCTTTTCCCAGGACCCTCTCCTGCCTCGGGCCCGCCCAGAAGGCCCATCCACCGCGGGCCCGGCCCCCCGTGACGCACGCGCCGGTCCGCGCCTTCGGCGTCCTCACCCTCTCCTCCCCAGGTCCTCCGACCCCGCCCCCTGGCGATGCTTCCTCCTCGCCCCACCCCTTTTCGAACCCTGCCAGGCACCCAGCCCCTCCCATTGAGAAACCTAAGCGTAGACCCTCGCCTCTTTCGAACCTTGAGACCAGGCCCTGTCCCGGACCCCTTCCCCACATCCTCAAGAGCCAATGGCGCGGATGGATGGGAAAGTAGGGGGTCCTCTCTGGATGCTGAGAAAATGGGGGCTGGGGGGCTGTTCGCTGGAGCCAGTGCCGGGCTCTAGGACCCAGCGGGCAAGTGCGCCCGCCTCGCGCTTACCCCTCCCCCAAGCCGCCCCCTCCCCCCCACCCGTCTTCCAGGTTCCCCCTCCCTCCCCCCTCGCCCCGGCTCCCGGTGCCCGTCTCTAGCGCCGCCGGAGCCAGCGAGGGAGCCGGAGCGAACAGGAGGAGGAGGAGGAGGCCACGTCGCCGCCGCTCGGAGCCCGGCCGGAGCCTCCCAGGCAGGTGCCGAGGGGGGCGAGGGGGCGGGGGCTGACCGACCGCCTGTCACGGTGAGGGGGCGGCCAGGACCGCGCTGCGCCTCCTGCCCACCAGGGCGCCCCCCACACCCTGGCTGGAAGGACAAGGGGGTGGGGGCCCCTAAACTGCGCGGCAGCCATTTGGGGTACCAGTCTCCATTTGGGGGGCCTGGACTTCTTCCGAGGACGCCCCATTCATAAAATTCCGTACTGGACCCCCATCATTGAGGAACTCTGGGGACCACTCCCCCTGGGAAACATGTGTAGGGAGCGTAGGGCACCCAGAAATCCCGGCGTCCCATCCCAGCTAGGCCCTGCGGGGGACCCCTGCCCTCTTTCTCGGCTTCACCTGTTGTCGGCGGAGGCGGGCGGACAAAGGAAGCAGCGTCACGTGACTGCTCATTCACAAAATCCCATCCCATTGAGAAAAGGGGGCTGGGGGCTCTGCGGCCGCCCCTTCCCCTCCCCACCGGCCGGGGAAACCCGGCAGCCTGCGGGTGGGGGAAGGGGCTAGAGCTTGTCCCCTGGGTCCCTAAGGCTGGGACGCCAGGGTCCTTGCGCTAGGTGGTCGCGAGGGCCTGGACGCTGATCCCGATTACTGGGCGGAGGGCTACGTCCCCTGAGCTGGGGGGCGGGGTAAGATGGTTCTGAAGGATGCTGGGGCGGGGAGGGAGAGGAGGAGGGATCAATCCCCCCCCACCCCCCGCCAATCTCTCCCCCTTGCCTTCCCTCTGCTGAGGCCTGAGGGAGCAGGTTTGATTTTTGTGAATGAAATGCTCTCTGGATGTGTCTTGGTCGCCCGTTTCTGGCTTCCTCTGCCTCCATCTCCCTTTCGGCCTCTCTCTGGCCATTTCTGATTCTCTCCCTGCTCCTTGCCCATCTCCCGTTGCTGGGTGACTCAGTGAGCTTTGCATCCGGTCTCATTCATAAATCCGGGAAGGGGTGGGGGTAAGGGAGCCTGGGTTTCTCACCCAGCCAGTGGCCTGGGCAGCCGGGTGCGGAGGCAGTGTAGGGAGGACTGGAGCTGAGTTGATGGGCTCTAAGAAAATACATATGCGCAGGCACCCAGCTGTGAGGGGGAACGATGGGTGGGGCTGTGGGTCTGTGCTGAGGGAGAAGAAGGAGACAGGGTTGATAGGGGATGAACAGGAGGGGGAAGGGAAGTGGAAAACCGAGGCTATGGCAGAGGGGACGGGAAGGATGGGGAAATGAAGGAAAGGAGGGTATGGGGAGAAAAGGTAGTTATGGAGAAGGTAGGCATGGGAGAAAGAGATGGCAGGAGGAAGAAAGAAGCCCTGCTAGAAGAAGGTGGGCATGGGGGAGAAGGTGTAGATGGGGAGGAGTGGATGGGGGAGAAGGTGTAGATGGGGAGAAGGAGTGGATGGGGGACAAGGTGTGGATGGGGGACAAGGTGTAGATGAGGCGAAGGAGTGGATGGGGGAGAAGGAGTGGATGGGGGACAAGGTGTGGATGGGGGAGAAGGAGTAGATGGGGAGAAGGAGTGGATGGGGGACAAGGTGTGGATGGGGGAGAAGGAGTAGATGGGGAGAAGGTGTAGATGGAGGAGAAGGTGTGGATGGGGGAGAAGGAGTGGAGGAGGGAGAAGGTGTGGATGGGGGAGAAGGTGTGGATGGGGGAGAAGGAGTGGAGGGGGAGAAGGTGTGGATGGGGGAGAAGGAGTGGATGGGGGAGAAGGTGTGGATGGGGGAGAAGGTGTAGATGGGGAGAAGGTGTAGATGGGGAAGAAAGAGTGGATGGGGGAAAAGGTGTAGATGAGGGAGAACGAGTGGACGGGGGAGAAGGTGTGGATGTGGGAGAAGGTGTGGAGGGGGAGAAGGTGTGGAGTGGGGAGAAGGTGTGGAGGGGGAGAAGGTGTGGAGGGGGAGAAGGTGTGGACGGGGGAGAAGGTGTGGAGGGGGAGAAGGTTTGGAGGGGGGAGAAGGTGTGGAGGGGGGAGAAGGTGTGGAGGGGGGCGAAGGTGTGGACGGGGGAGAAGGTGTGGAGGGGGAGAAGGTGTGGAGTGGGGAGAAGGTGTGGAGGGGGGAGAAGGTGTGGAGGGGGGAGAAGGTGTGGAGGGGGAGAAGGTGTGGACGGGGGAGAAGGTGTGGAGGGGGGAGAAGGTGTGGAGGGGGGAGAAAGTGTGGATGGGGGAGCAGGTTGGGGTGGAAGGTAGAGGATCGGTGGCCAAGGGTGCCGTGGATCCAGATGTGAGGGATGAAGAGGGGAGGTGACGGTTGGGGGAACAAGGAATAGGCAAGCAGGATTGGAGCTCACTGACCATGTTGTCCCTGTCCCCCCATCTCCTCCAGGTACATGGTTCGGGTCCGAGCCGTGGTGATGGCCCGAGATGACTCCAGTGGGGGCTGGCTGCCTGTGGGGGGCGGGGGCCTCAGCCAGGTGAGCGTATGTCGGGTCCGAGGGGCCAGGCCCGAGGGGGGGACCCGCCAGGGGCACTACGTCATCCACGGGGAGCGCCTCCGGGACCAGAAAGTGAGCCACCCTGGGCGTGGGGATGTGGGGGGCATGGGGACATAGGGAATGGGGCCGGGAGAGCAGAGCTGAGGCCAGGGCATCTCCCAGCCTGGAATCACCCCGGCGTGTGGGAAGGAATTTGGCAGTGAATATCTGTCCTATGGATAAGGGTTGGGAGTTTGGGGTACCAAGCAGGTCCTGTCCACTGCCATCACCTGCTGGACTGTCACAGCAGCCTCCTCACTGGATTCTTGCCCTGCTTCTGCTCCCTCCCCCAACCTCAGTCTGTTCCAGGGTCCCTGCTAACACCTGACTCAGATCATATCCCTCCTCTGCTCAGAACCCTCCCGTGGCTCCATCTTGCTCAGAAATCCTCACCATGAGGCCCCTGTCTGCCCTGAGTATACAGAGGCATTTGGTGGGGGGCCATCTGGAAGTGTCAGATAGGGTTTACAATGCCACATATGGGTTCGGCAGGAATATTCGGGGCTCTCTGGCACGATTTGGAAGGACAAGGTTGAAGCTTTGGCGGGAATGTAGTAGAAAGATGTGAATTATCTGAAAAGCTTTGGGAGAAGGGTTGCATCTCAAAGTAGGGGTCAGCAGGAACAGTGTGGGGGAGTGGAAACGGTGTGAGGGAATTTTGTGGTGTCGGGCAAGGATATGAGGGAATGGCTAGGTGTGGACCAGCGTCTGAGGGGAAGTCTGTGGGAGTTTGGTAAGAATTTTGGGGGTAGTGTTTTGGGAGATTATTGAGGCATCAGAAGGGGATTAATGGTAATCTTTTGAGATGTTCCATAACGTTTGGGGGTGCACTTGACTTGGAAGGGGGGATGTTGGGTTATCAGAAGGGGGTAAGTAATTTTTTGAGAGATCCAATAAGAGTTGGGATTCCCATTGGGAATATCAGAGGGAGGTATTGGAAAATGTAGGGCTCAAGGGGCTTGGGAGAAATGTTGGAGTATCAGAGGTGTGTTCAATAAAATTGAGGAGTGGTATTGGGGTGTTGATCAGGGTTCAGGGGTACCCCTAGGAGAAATGAGGTTCGCGGGATGCTGGGCATATGCAGAGAGGCTGGGGGTTAAGGGGAGGTCACAGGCATGGCTGGATGGGTGTCTGACCTGGCCCCCTCCCGCCCCCCAGACCACCTTGGAGTGTACCCTGAGGCCAGGCCTGGTTTACAACAAGGTGAACCCCATCTTCCATCACTGGAGCCTGGGCGACTGCAAGTTCGGGCTGACGTTTCAGAGTCCTGCAGAGGCTGATGAGTTCCAGAACAGCCTGCTGGCCGCGCTGGCCGCCCTGGGTCGAGGTGAGTGGCACAGGTGGTGGCCAGTGGGGTGCTGGGTGGAGAGGTGAGAGAATCTGGGGCCCCGGGAACTCACTCTCTGCCTCTCTCCCTGCCACAGGCTCGCTCACCCCCTCCTCTTCCTCCTCCTCCTCCTCCCCTTCCCAGGACACCGCAGAGACCCCCTGCCCTCTGACGGTGAGTCTCCAGGACGCAGGTCTGCTGGGAGGGAGGGGTTCATTTCTGTTCTGCAAACATTCTTGAGCACCTGCTGTGGATCAGGCACCAGGCCACGTGCTGGGGACACAAATTTGGGCCCAAACTATTAGCATCGATCCAATCCCAGTTACTCTAGTTTTTCTGTTCTATCGTGATGGAGCACATTCATCCATTCAGTCAGGGCTGTTTACTGAGCACTGTCCATAGGTAGTGTTTTAGGCACTGGGGATGCATCGGTACAAAACCAAGTCACTTCCTCCTGGAGCCCCTATGCTAGTGTGGAGAGGCAGGGAAAAAAGATAAACGATAAAAATGAACAAATATGAAAAGTAAATGGAGGAGCAAACAGTGACAAGTCCATCCTTCTAGTGACTCAGGGTACAAACCCTGGAGTCAGCCTTGACTCGTCTCCTTTTTTATGCCCCTCATTTAGTCTGTCAGTAAATATTGGCTCCGTTTTCAAGACTACCAGGATCTGGCTCCACCCTGGTACTGACTACCCTCATCTCCCACTGGACCATCTCACCAGCTTCTCATTGTCCCCTGCCCCCTCCTATGCCCTATTGGCTGCTCCACACACACAGCCAGAGGGACCCTAGTGACATCGAAGTCAGATCGTGGTCATCTCCCACTCAGAACCCTCCCAGGGCTCCGTCTTACACGGGGTAGCGGACAAAATCCTTACAGTAAGATCCCACACCATCTGGCCCTCTGTTGCTCTCCGTCTTGCTCACTCTGCTCCAGCCACAGTGGCCTCCTCACTGTTACTCCAAAAGGGCAGACACATTCCTGTCACAGGGCCTTTGCACTGGCTGGTCCTTCTGTCTTGGCACACTGTTCCCCAAATTTCTACCTGGCTCATGCCCTTATTTCCTCAGGGTTTTCCACACATATCCCCTTCTCCCTGAGCCCCTCCTTGAGTAGCTGTTTAAAATTGCCATCCCAGTGCTCCTTATCCTCTTCTAATTTGTTCCCATCTTCTAGGCTATTTCCCTGATTTGCTTTCCCAGCAGACACTCTTCTTATGTATCAGTTTACTGTCCCTCTCCCTTGCTAGAATGTCAGCTCCAGGAGGGCAAGGCTCTTCTATGGCTTTCCCGCTGCATCTCCAGTGCCTAAGACAGTGTCCAGGATACACCAAGTGTTCAGTAAAGATGTGTTGAATAAATTTATTGACTGAATAAATGTACATAATGTCGGATGCGAGTTGGTACTTGCTGGGAACACTGGGAGTTGCTGAAAACACTTGGAGGAACTAAACTGGGTCCCTGGGCAGAAAGGTGGAATGCCAGGGTAATGGGAGATACAGGTGGGGCCACAAAAGGTGCGCTGACCATTCCCACTGCCTGAGCTCTTGCTCAGGAAAGATGCTGTGCTGGCCACACTCCATCTCCCATCCTGACAATGTCCCTTGTGCGCCTGGCACGTGGTGGGTGCTTAACGAATGTTTACTGAAAACAGTGAAACGATCCCCGAGTTATGGAAAGGCAACTGAGGGTTCTCGGAAGCTATGTTTCAGCTTATGAAGGGCAGAGCTCGGTTTGGATGGGAAGGAACCCATCTCAGGTGGGTGGAACTGCCCCCGTACAGGTGTGGCCGTGGGAATGAGGCAGCAAGGCGGCTGACTGGCCGCGGGAGAGGGGTTCTGAGAAGGGAGAAGGATGGTTTGATGTTCTGTAGGTTGGTGAGCTAAGCCTGGGGTCGAATACTAATAACAATAACGATAACCACTTCCTGCTCTTCCTGCCCTTTAGAACACTGTTATGCCCAATACAGTGGGTCCTAACCATACCCTATGAATAGACACTACTAGCATCCCCATTTTACAGAAGAGGAAACTGAGGCTCAAAGAGGAGGTCACGCAACCAGTCAGTGGCAGAGCTGCTGCGGAGCCCTTGCTGGACGTGGGAGGGGGTCTGTGTGAGGGGATCGGCAGCCGGGTCGGGGCGGGGAGGTCCGGCTCTGAGTTCGCCCGTCTCCCCCAGTCCCACGTGGACAGCGACTCCTCCTCCAGTCACAGCCGCCAGGAGACGCCTCCCCCCACCGCGGCAGCCTCCATCGTCACCGTGGAGTCAGCCTCCGGCTTCGGGCCGGCCACGCCGCCCCAGCGCCGCCGCTCCTCGGCTCAGGTGCGACCTCCGACCCCCAGCGGAAGTCTGGGGGTCCAGGTGAAATGGGGCCAGGCGCTGGGGTCCCGAAGTGGGTGGGAGCTGAGGCCACAGAGGGGCGAGAGACCACACCTGGATTCTGGGGCATGCCTGACCTGACTTCTGGCGGGGCGGGGGGGGGGGGGGGGGGGGGGGGGGGGGGGGGGGGGGCGGGGCTTGGGGGCCTCCGAGGGTTGGGACTGTTGGGCGAGGTCTTCCCGCGTCTCCTGCGCTCTTGGAGATTTTAGAAAGTTCTGCAATTCCAGAGGAGTTCGGGGGACGACTTGGCCATTGAATTCGTCAAGTATGTTAGGGGGTTGCTAGGACTCATGGAAGGAGTTCTTTAGACTGCGTAATTCACGGAGTTGGGGGGGAGGGCGGCGTGGTATCCAAGGGGCTAAAAGAGTACCCGGGGACCGGACTCCTGCGTCCTGAAGGAGGAGGTGGCTGGGGTCCAGGACTCCTGGATCTGAGAGTAGAGGGGGCTGGGTGCCGGGACTTCTGGATCTCGAGAGAGGACAGGACTGGGAGCCTGGACCACTGGGTCCTTACGGTGTGGGCTTGGTGTGGCTTCTTCTGTCCGTCTATAGATTTCCTCTGTCCCGGGGAGAGGAGCGGGCTGAGGGCTTGGAGTCTGAGAGGCGGAGGTCGGCACTCAGGATCGGAGGATGAGTGAGGCCTGTGGCTGCGTCTTTGGATTCTCTGGTCTTCTGAGACTGATGGATTGTGGATTGTGGTAGGGTGTGGGGGATCCAACACCCCACTAACTCGTTCTCCTGTCCCTTCGTCCCGCAGAGCTACCCTCCGCTTCTACCGTTCACGGGGATTCCGGAGCCCTCAGAGCCCCTGGCCGGGGCAGGGGGCCCGGGCTGGGGCGGCCGCGGCTATGAAGATTACCGGCGCGCCGGGCCGCCCGCGCCCCTCGCCCTGTCCACCTGCGTCGTGCGCTTCGCCAAGACCGGCCCGTTGCGGGGCGCAGCCCTGGGGCCCCCCGCTGCACTACCCGCCCCTCTCACCGAGGCTGCGCCCCCAGCGCCCCCGGCTCGCCCGCCCCCTGGCCCCGGCCCGGCTCCTGCGCCGGCCAAGGCCTCCCCGGAGGCGGAGGAGGCGGCGCGCTGCGTGCACTGCCGCGCGCTCTTCCGCCGCCGCGCTGATGGCCGTGGCGGCCGCTGCGCCGAGGCCCCGGACCCCGGTCGCCTGCTGGTGCGCCGGCTCAGCTGCCTGTGGTGCGCCGAGAGCTTGCTCTACCACTGCCTGTCGGACGCCGAGGGCGACTTCTCGGACCCGTGCGCCTGCGAGCCAGGCCACCCGCGCCCCGCCGCGCGCTGGGCCGCGCTGGCCGCGCTCTCCCTCGCCGTGCCCTGCCTCTGCTGCTACGCGCCCCTGCGCGCGTGCCACTGGGTCGCGGCGCGATGCGGCTGCGCTGGCTGCGGGGGTCGCCACGAGGAGGCGGCGCGGTGAGGACGGCCTGGGGGGTCCCGCAGCCGGACCGAGGGCCTAAAATTGAGGGTCCAGGACCCCGGACTCCATTCGGACCCAAAAACCGGAACTTGGAGCTTGAGTTTGGTCTGAGAGACCCCACACCTGGAACTTGGACCGCAAATCTAGGACTGAGATACCCCAGACTCAGCTTCATTGGGATGTCTGCGCAAGAGGTCCCAGGCATCCTGATTTCTAGCGACCCTGTACGCCCCCCCTCCCGCTCCCATCCCGACCTGACTGAGGAGACTCCAGGCACCCTCAGACTCGGCAGCTCAGGCTGCCGGGCAGCACACGGATCCCTGAGAGACACAGGGCCCTGAACCCTGACTCCCTCTTCAAATAACCAACCCAGACCTGGTCATGCCTGGCGCCATGACCCCTCAGATTACAGCCCCCGAATTAGTCAGGAGTTGTCAATATCTGACCCTGCCTGTATACAGTTACTCCCAGGCCTTGAGACCACAGGATCCAGAATCACCCCAAATGGTCCCTGAGTGCTCACCTAAAACTTGGGGCACTCATATCTGAGATGTTCTTGTAGCCCCAGGAGCCCTGAGACATCAAACCCTCTTAAGATGCCCTCAGTCCTTGGATATGCTCAATCAGATGTTTTCTGACCACCATTACTTGGGAGACCCATTCCAGAATGCTCCCTCCCTGCCCTGCCAAGACCCAGATGTCAGACTCCCAAGATGCTCTGGGAGTCAGGGGTCAAAGACCTCTGTAGACCCACCCATCCCCAGCCAGTGTTCCCAAGAACTTCGGATCTCATATATAGGACTCTGAGCTGCCTAGTACCCCCAGATGTAGGACTGAAGCCCACCAACACCTCAGGGCCCAAGACACTGGTCCCAAGTCCACAGATAACCCTCTTCCAATCCCCCTTGGACCAGGAATTCAAGCCCCAGCATGTCCTGGAATCTTCGGCTTCTTTGTACCCACAGATTCCCAATCCCCGAAAGGCTGGGAACCCAGCTTGGGACATTCATGGCATCCCAGACCTCTGACCCCTTGGAGCCCAGCCCCTGAGTGACCCCAAGGTGCTTTAGGAGCACTGGATCCATGACCCCAAGGTGCCATTGACCCCCCAAATTCAGGGCTCAAGCCTACACAACATTGGAATTGTCTCTGACGCAAGACCTTGGTCCCTCCATGTCAGAGATGGTCAGATCTAAGGTGCCCCAGCACCCCAGCACCTTCAGGTCCCACATTTCTTTGCACTCAGACCTCTCTAGCCTGATGCTCCCTGAGACCTGCTGTCCCTTGAATGGCAGGCCATCCATAGGCCCCTGAGACCCCCAAGGTCCCAGACTCTGGAATTCTTGTCTCAGGGGCTCCAGCCTGAGCCCCCAGCATCCCACAGAATTAGCCCTTTACTCTAGGGGAGGAAAACTCCACCATTGTGAGCTCATATTCCTGGATTCCAGGACTACCAAGAGCTCCCCGACTCCCATCTCTAGGACCCAACCATGGATGATTGATTGTGCAGGCTGTGCACCAAGCAAAGGCATGTGGCCAAGGCGGGGAGTGGGGCTGGAGCTCCCACCGCCCTCTGCTGGCCATGCTGTGCCCTCAGAGGAAAGTGTGCCTTTTCTAAGTTGCACAAAGGCAACTTTTGGGCTAGCTGTGGCTCTGCTGGTGTACACACACATTCACACTCACTCACTCTCTCACCACAGCCTTGTAGACCCTGCCCCAAGCCCCAGCTTGAGTCCTAGTCCAAGCTTTTTATGTCCGCTGCCGCCCCCACCCCCATGAACCCCTTCTCTTCCGTCTCAGAGTTGAAGTTGCTTCAGAAAGTTTGAAAGCCTGTTTCAAGGCCCTCTCAGACCCCTCTTCTGGGGAAGGGAGATGCCACAGTGTCTTTACCCTGAATGGCATGGGACTTCCAGGGTACCTCAGATCTGATGGCCTGAATGGGGGGACCAAGGTCCTGAAGCAAGACAGTCTCACTGTTGTGTGGGCCTGGGACCTGCCCCTGGTCCCGAGCATCTGGAATGTGCACATATCTTTCTTAATTACCCAGACTTGGATGGCCTTGTGGGGGTTCAAGGGATAGGTCAAGGGGGCCAGAGGGATAGATCCTTCTGACTCTTCCTTTAAATTATTAACTATTTATTATATCCGGAACCTGTGACATTCAGCTCTCCCAACCAGACCCTGGGATGGGTGAGAGAAAAGGGGGGTGTCCCTCCCACCCCCACTCTGCCCAGCTCTCATCACTGTCAGACCCACCAGAGCTGAGGGCGGAGGGACTGGGGGCTGGGGCAGCCTGGGTCCCCATCCCTCTCTCTGTGCCTCGGTCTCCTCCCTTCCGTGGTGGGCGGGGGGAAGCTCCATTCTTAACCTACCTCGTTTTGGGGAGGGGTGGGCCGGGGACCAGAGTGCTGTAAGGTGCTGTGGGATCTGCGGATGAAGCTCCGCCTCTCCCAGGTCTCCCAGTCCTGCTCCCTGCTGATACCCACCTCTGATCCATGATTACCCTTCATCACCCCCAAAGCAGGGGTGCATGGAGGGCTGATCCTGGGAGCCAGGAAGACCTCAGACCCTGGAGCCCCCAGGCCCAATTTCCCAGCTGCTTGCCCCTCGGATTGGATGCTTGGCCCCCAGACTTGGGGGAGGCACCCCGATATTTATCTTCCTGATCTTGATTCCAAGCCAGTCTGTGACCTCAATATCTTATCGTCAGTGCAGGCTGAAGTGGCGGGGGAGGATGGGGGCCAAAGACCCAGCCTTGTCATCGGGGGAGGGGGGCATGAGATATCCGCTCCAAGAAATGTCTGTGACAAAGTCTCAGCCTGTCTTCTTTATTCGCATCGATGTGCCCCCATCCGCGCATCTTCCTGAACCGCCGAACCAGCCTCCTCCCCAATTCTCCTTTCTCCTCTGCAACCTTTAATCCCGAGCAGACCCTCCAGCTGAGTTGTATGCATTGAGTCACTCAAAAGCACATTTATTGAACACCATTATGTGCCAAGCCCTGTTCTAGGCACTAGGGATAAAGCAGTGAAGAACAGACAGAAATCCTTTCCCACAAGGAGCTTATGAACCTAACAGTGAAGGGGACAATAAACAAATGACATGTTAGAAATGACCTATACTATAAAGAAAAAATAAAGTGGAGATGGGGGTGCAGGCAATTGTAGCCAGAGTGGTCGGGGAGGCCCCCCTGAGGAGCTGAGGGAGCCCTGTGGACGTCTGCAGGAAGAGCATTCAGAGAAAGGGGACAGCCAGTGCAAGACTGTGAGGGAGGGGCATGCCTGGTAAGTCTGGGGGACGGCAAGGGAGCTGCAGGGGAGGAAGCAAGGAGGAGGGTACTTAGGAGATGAGGGCGGGGAGGTGACAGGGCAGATCTGAGGGGCCTTGCTAGCCGTTGCATGGACTTTGGTGTTTGTCCCGGGTGAGAGGGAGCTACAGGAAGTCTCCAAGCATGGGAGGGGTGTGACCTGACTCAGGGGTTCACAGGTTCCCTCTGGCTGCCAGTGGGGAACAGACACGGGGCTGGGGGGCAGGGAGACAGAGAGGAGGCTGCTGGGATGGTCGGGGGCGGAGGCGGGGGGGGGGGGGGTGGGCAATGGTGCGCAGGACCACGGTGAGAGCGGTGGAGGCAGACACTGGATCTATTTTGAAGGTAGAGTCCACAAATTTAGATATGGGGTTTGATATAAAGAGAGGAGCCAAGGTTATCACCCCCAGGTTTTGGCCTGAGAAATTTTTAATGTTTTATTAAGGTCAACAAATGGCCCCTGAGTCCCCCGCCTTGGGGGAGGCAGGACCATGGAGGAAGGTCAGGGCAGGCTCTGCCCAGGAGGAAGTTCTGGCCCCTGTTCTTCCCCGCGGCTCAACGCCCAGCCCACTTCCGCTCCCAGCAGAGTTATCTAGGAATGACTGGAGACCAGGGTAGCGTCGGGAAGAGATAAGATCTGGAACAATAATTTTAACAACAGCAACAAAAACCGTAGCAGTAAAAACAGTCATAATAGGTTAAGTGGATAAAAGCATGGACTTTGGAATCAGATCTGAATTTGAGTCCTGGCACTCCTACCCGTTCATTCTGGGACTTAACCTCTCTGAGCCTGTTTTCTCTTCCGTCAAACGGGGATAAGATACTTAGCCCAGTAGCACACAGAACGCTCAATATACGTTAGTTATTCTTGAGAACTCCCTACATGTCTGCTAAGCACTTACACACAGCACTCTAACCCTCATTATTATTCCCACTATGCAGATGAGACGCAATTTGGCAGCGACACGGAGGTGGGGTGGGGAGTGGCGGAGCCAAGCCCTAACCTTGTCCGCCTGACTCCTGGGGGGGGGGGGGGTGGCAATCTCTTAGTCACGACAGCCTATTGCACCTGCTCCCTCTCTCCAAGGCCTGGGGAGGGAGAGGGATGAGGGACTAATGCGTGCCAGGTGATGGATGAGGAGGGCCGAGCTCTGGTGGGAGGGGGGTGTGAGGGACGAGGAGGGATGCTTGGGTCCCTGACAGAGTTCCAACGCTAAGTAGGAAAGGAGGAAACATGCTTCTGGGTTTGGAGCGGAGGTGAGAAAACAGCCCTTGGTCTGGGGTGCTTTAAGGGCAGGGGGCGGCTGAGGAAAAGGAAACCGAAGTGGCTTCTCTGTCGCAGCAGTAGCGACACGCGGGATCCAGATGCACGCTCCGGGATGCACAGAGCGGCGGTTTCCAGAGCCGGGACCCGCACCCGCCGGGCGGCGCTCTAGGTCCCTGTGCCGGCGGGCCTGGAGGCGGGCTCTGCCTCCCCCTGCACCAATGGTAACGCCGAAGGCCTTCGCGAGAAGAGGCTGATTGGCCGGTGGCGCCGCAGGGGGCCGGGCGCGCCTGGAGCAGGGCCTCCCGCTGGCCGGCAGGGGGCGCGCGCGGCGGAGAGGCGCAGCTTCCATGGAGGGGGCGGCGGCGGAGGCGCGGGAGGGGGCCGCCGTGGCCCGGGACCTGCGGGCCTTGGGGTAGGGGGGCGGCGTGGGGCCGGGGTGCAGGCAGGGGCGGGCTGCCCTCGGACGCCCTTCCTGATGCCCGCGCCCTCCCGCCGCAGGTACGAGGGCTTCCCGGGGGCGGAGGCGCTGAGCCCCGCGTGCCCAGACTTCCGGGCGCTGTGCGCGCGGCTGGCGGCGGAGCTGGCGGCTCTGGGCGCCCTGGAGCGGGAGCCGGAGTGGGGCGCCGGGGCGCTGAGCGACGGCGACGGTACGTGCGGAGCGGGAGGCCTGGGGGTGGGGCCGCGGGGCCGCCGCGCCCTGACGTCTCCGTCCCGCAGGCCCCGGCGCGGAGGCGGCGTTTGTGCGACAGCTGGCCGGCCTGCTGCGGGAGCTGCACTGCCCGGTCCGCGCGCTCGGCAGCGGGGACTGCGGCGCGGCGCTGCGGGAGCCCGGCGCGGGCCTGCGCCTGCTGCGTGAGCCCGGGCGGCCGGGGGCGGGGCCTCCAGGGGGCGGGCTCGCGCATCGAGGGGGAGCCTGGGGCCCCGGGAGGCGTGGTCAGGGCTTGGAGGCGGGCAAGAGGGCCTGGGGTGGGCGGGGCCGGAACAGTGCGGCGGGCTCAGGGCTTTGCGGTGGGTGGGCCTTGAGGCTCGGGCGGGTTGGGCTAGATGCAGCCAGGTGGACGGGGTTCAAAGTCCGGGGAGGAGCCTGGGTCTCGAAGTGGGCGGAGCTCACTCTGGAGGAGAACCCAGGGTCCCAGGTGGGCGGGAGTGGCAGGCGGGAGGTTTTGAAGCCTCCGGTAGGGAGTGGCAGCCCCCCTCCGTTGCATCGCTCCCTTTCCCGACGTTTAGGCTTTCTCTGCTCCGAGCTCCAGGCCGCCCGCCTCCTCCGCCTGCGGCCCAGGCTGGATCCCGGCCCTGCGCCGCCCGGTGGGGAAGGGGCAGAGGAGGGAGCCGGCATGGTCCAGGAACTGGTCCTTACTCTTCAAGCCCTGGGGCTGCCCAGACCCACGCCGGGGACCCCTGCCAGCCGTCTGCTGCGGGAGTTGCACGCCAAGGTAGACAGCCGGAGTCCCCTCGTTCCCGGGCCACCCCACCTTCTTGTCGGGGGACAGCCCTTTCTGCAAAAGCGGCGCTGGGAGGGGTCCCCCAGTCATCGCAGTTTTCTAGAGCTGTGACCTCCCTTCTTGATTTGGGACCTGAGGTCGGTGGAGGAGTCCATCCTCCCTCTGCGCGGTCAGCCTCAGACTCCTCCTCCTCCCCCCGGCAGATCTCGGGGCTGCTGCCCTCCCTGCCGCCAGAGTCCCTGCAGCCCCTCCTCGGCTCCCCGCTGGATGCGCCCAGATGGGTAAGAGAGCGTATGGCTGTGTGTGAACACTGTCCTCATCCAGAGATGGGAGCGAGGGGGACCCTGGTACGACCGAGGTCTTTCTCCCCAGGAGGCGTTGGCGTCCCTGTCCCAAAGCCTGCGAGCTCAGTACTGCTGCCGCCGCCGGCTCCTGCTCCGGCGTCTGGACCTCACTACCTCGGCTTTCCACTGGAGTGAGCGGGCAGAGGTGGGCGAACAACCTTGGGGGGGGGGCAGGGATGCTGGGCTGGGGGGCCGCAGTGCAGGGAGGAGGGACGAGGGCCAGGAAGAGCGCCCTCCGGCAGGTTCTGCGGCCCAGGACACTTTAGAATCTTGTGAGGTTTGAGGTCCTAGAATCTCAGGGTCCCCAGGGCATCCTAGAATCGCCAGCTCTGAGCTGGGACTGTCTTCAGAGCTATACTGCTTCTTTGCAGAGGTGGGAAGTGAGGCCCTGAGTGGGCAAGAGATGCTTCCAAGATGACACATCCCAGCTGGGGAGGGCTCTGGGGCACGCTCTCCATGCCCCGCCTCCCCCAGGTCCAAGGAGAGGCCATGAAGGCAGCTCTGATCCCAATTCGAGAGGCCCTGACCCCAGAAGTGGATGTCTCCATTGCACACGTCCTGGCTGCCCGAGCCGACCTGTCTCGTCTTGTCCCGGCCACCAGCAAGGCTGCCCGTCGGGGGACCTGCTGTGCCATCAACAAGGTGCACACCTGGGTGTGGGGAAGGGCCCCAGCATCCTTGGCCTTCAAACTGGCCTGTCAGCCTCTGCCCTGGTCCAGGCTTGTCCTCTCTGGCCTGGGTTCCTGGCCTCTGGACTCGCCACCTCTGATCTGCCCTCTCCACATCGCAACTAGAACATTTCTAACTCAGAAATCTGATCATGTTCCTCCCTACCTCAAAACCCTTTTATGGCTCCCCAGTGCCTTCAAGACTATTTACTAAGCCCCTGCTCACCTCTCCAGCTTTGGCTTAAAATCCTGCCCCCCAACTTCACCCTGTCTGTTGTATTGGTTTTTAACCATTTTTAAAACAGAAATACCCTCTAGGGGCTGTCCTGGTGGCATAGTGGTTAAGTTCGTATGCTCTGCTTTGGAGGTCCAGGGTTTGTGGGTTTGGATCCCGACCACAGACCTACACACCACTCATCAAGCCATGCTGTGGTGGCGTCCCACATACAAAATAGAGGAAGATTGGCACAGATGTTAGCTCAGAGCCAATCTTCCTAACCAAAAAAAAAAAAAAAAAAAAAAAAGGAAATACTCTCTGTTCAGTGATTACATATTTAGCCTCATACCTCTCGGTTTACACAGTCTTATAGTTGTGTGAATGAGTCTTAGGATAAAGTCTAGCACAGCAAAGAGTGAGGCAAAATTTAAGAAAAAAGGTTATTTGCTTTAAGGAAATGCAGGGAGTAAATAATATTCCGGGTGATGCATGAGTGATGGATATTTAGGAAAAAACACTAATTTGCTGGAAATGGTATAGAAAGCCCCAGATATGAAACAGACGAAAGCTGAGGTGTCCTCGTTAATATTGGTGGGGACTTGGACCTCTGCCATCACCCTCCCCTTTCTTTTTATTTCCCTTTTGCTGAGGCCCCTGGAACCCAGTTTGAAAGCACCAGGCCTGTATGTTCCACCACTGCACCCAGACAGTCAACATCTGCCCTTCCATTTTCAACCTCATGCTGTTCCCTTTGCTCTCTGGCCCCCTTGTCCGAGATGCTTTTCCTCTCTGAAACTCAAGTCTAATCAACTGTCAGGTGCTTATGGGCGATGTGCCAGACCGAGGGGGCCGCCCTGACGAGCTGGAGGCCCCCATGCCCAGCTGGCAGAGCAGGAGAGAGGACGGGGGCGGGCGGCAGGCCGGCCGCCAGCGCTGGGGCCGCAAGAAGAAGAAGAAGTAAACCGCGACTGGCGGTGGGAGTGGTCCCCGAGGAGATGCTGACGCCCCTGCGCATGCTCTCTGGGGAGCTGGCCTGAGGGCTTCTCTTGGTACCCGGCACCCAGGCCCCACCTCCCCTGTTCCTGGCGCCCAGATGTCCTCCGCACACCCACCACTCAACACCAAAGACGTGTTCTCTGGAAAATAAATTTAATTTCTGACAACCGTGGGACCTGTCTCTGTGGGGCCAGGTCAGGGCGCTGGGGTCTGAGGAGGGATGGGGATCTCTGTCATAGCAGGCCCCTGATGCTCTGACCCAGAAAGTCCTTGGCTCTTTGGCCACGCATCTTTCCCTTCCTGCGGGCATGGGGAAGCGGACACGCAGCATCAGACACGCAGCATTGGACAAACATTTATCAGGGGCCCACCAGGTGCCAGCCCTGTTCTAGGCACTGGGGACGCAGTGGGGAAAGATACAGATGATAAACCCCTGCTCTCCCGGAGCTGCCATTTCTGGGGAGGAGGGGCAGACATGCAACAGGAGAAACAGGTAAAAAAGATAGTTTGTCACGTGGGGAAAAGACTTCGGAGAGAAATAAAACTGGAAGGCAGGATCAGCACTGTGGGAGGATGGCAACTTTGAGCATCATTGAGGAGGCCTCACTGAGAAGGTGACACTTGAGCTAAGTCCCAAAGAGGGAGCCCTTGTGGTCCTCTGGTGAAGAGCGTTCCAGGCTGAGGGAACGGCCAGTGCAAAGGCCCTGAGGTAGGATTTTTGGCATGTTCAGGGACCACCAAGCCCAGTATAGCGGAAGAAGGATGAGTGAGGATGTGAGTGGTGGGAGGTGAGGTTGGAGAGGTAGGGGGTGGTCAGGTGGTGTTGGGTGGGCCAGTGGGAGGACTCTGGCTTTCCCCTTGAGAGAGATGGAGCCACTGGACGGCTCAGGTGTCCGCAGGGTCCCTGTTCACCCCTTCTCTAGCCGTCTCTCCTGTCTCTGAAGCCCCAGAGTTTGGAACTCTGCCCAGCATGTCCCCTCCCGCTCCTGACCCATGCTGTCAGTGTAGCACACCAGGCAGGAACTGATGTTTTAGAGGCAGACGAAGACCTGGGTTTGAGTCCTGCCTCTGTGGGCAGCTTAACCTCACTGGGCCTCAGCTTCCTCATCTGTAAAACGGAGATTTAAGGAGTCGGTGAGATGGTGCCTAAGTCTAAACGCACCCAACATGGAGCCGCACAGATCCTCGGTGCGGGAGAAAGGGGTACAATTAATAGCCGCTCTGATGCAAAAGAAGAAAGTGACTTTCAGAGTGAGAGATGGTGGATGCCTCCACGAAGGCAGTGTGGTGGGACGCCTGCGATGCCTGTGGGATTCTGCTGGAGGCCCAGTGACAGGAGTCAGCCCTGATCCAGGGGAGGGGAGAGAGAAGTGACCGAGGCAGGTCTAGGAGTCCGGCTTGGAGGACTGCGTGGGTGGCGAGGCCATCGCCGGGAGGGGGACCTGGAGGGAGAAAGACATGGGTGATGTGGGGAGTGTCTGGTGTCTCCAGGACGCTTCACAGCCGGGGGCAGAGCCTCCCCGAGACTTTTGTTAAGTGGATGAATGAGTGACCCCTGGGGACATTTTTTTTTCCACTCAATCTGAGAGTCTCTACCTTTGAATAGTGGAATTTATGCCACCGACATTTATTATAGCTCCTGATATATTTGGCTTTATTCTTGCCATCTTATTATTTTCTTTGTTTTTTATCCCTAAAATCCTTTTTCTGTTCTACTAGAGGCTACTCCCTCCCCGCCCCCAACATATTGAAAGTTCCGATTTTCTGTCAACATTACAAATTAACCCGTATCTGTACTCTCCTACCCAAGCAGGTGAGGACTTCCGCACATCACGCTTTCCTGCGCTTCCCCAAAGCTGCCTGGGTTCCCCCAGGCCAATGGCCTGGTCTCTCCTGTACCAGCCGGGGGCAGGGGGCAGTTCCTCCTCACCAGCTTGGGTTCCCAGGAAGGGTGTGGGGGCTCCGTCTGGGTCCACGCGTGGCGGAGGCGGCGCCCCGTCTCGGCTTCCAGGGACAGTGTGTAGGAGAGGTGGTCCTCGGAGCCTGCTGGTGAGGTTGGATGGGAAGGGTCTCAGGACCTTGGGATGGGTCCCCCCCCCACCAGGACCACTCCGCCTGGGGTCTTACCACAGCTGGCATGGGGAGCTGGTGTGGGTGGGATGGGGGCTTCTGGGGAGCTCACGTCACCCTTGGCCCCTGGCCTCTTCTTACATTCCACCTTCACTTGGTCTCGGCAGTGTTTGTGGCAACACAGCCCACAGTCTGGAGGGGAAGGTCAGTGGTTAGTGGCCAGAGGCCCAGTCCATGCCCCTCATTCTCCCAGCCTGCAGGTCCTGGATCCCGCCCCACCCCCAATGCCCCACTCACCCTGACAGCGGTAGCCTTGCTTGGTGACACCCCAGAGCTGGGAAGAGAAAGCAGAAGAAGTCACCTAGGTTAGGGGAGTGGGGCTGTGGATGGGAGCGGCTGTCTGGAAGGGTGGAAACTGGCCAGCTTTAGGAAACCCTCAAGGCTAGAGGGGTTCAAGGAATTCGGGGGTTATCTCAAGTTTGGGGAGTCAGCTAGGATATTAGGTAAAACTTGGAATCAATAAAATATAAATGCTATGGGCAAGGATCGTGTCTGTGTTTCCTGCTGTCCCCCACCCGGCCCGGAGCCTAGACCCGAGCCTGGCACACAGGAGGGGCTCAGGAAATACTGAGCGACTGACAATGCGAACTTGGGAAGTAAGGCAAGGCCCATGAATTAGTCTTGGTCTGCAGATGGCGAGATCCGTCCACTGTCCCGCGTTTGAGGACACCTTGAATTTGCAAATTATCCAGGGCTTGAATTCTCTGGAGTCTAGAGACTTGGAGAGGTATCCGTCTGGAGGTAATCTGCTCAGGGGTGTAGATTACCCAGGGTTGCAGACACCGTCCACGGTTTGACAGTTACCCAGGATGGAGATGCTCTGGGATCTGCGCACTATCTAGACTTCAGAATGATCCGGCATGTAGGGAATATCCGGCGTTTGGAGTTGCTGTGAAATGTGGGGATCGGGGTGGAGAATCTTCTAGAATTTGGGGATTATCTGGGGCTTGGGCACTGTGACAGCTCCGGGGCCGCGCTGGCTTTCTGAGCTGGGGCTATGAGGAGCTGGGGGCACTCGGGGGGAGACGGGCCTGAGGATAGTGGCGGGGGTGGGCAGAGCACTCACGAAGCCGCTGCAGCTGTCACAGAAGGTGGGCTTGCGGAAGGTGACCTCGTGGAAGGTGTGCAGGAAGGCCAGGCCCAGCTTGGAGCAGATGGCGCTGGCCCGCAGCAGGTACCCCGTCAGCTCCTCTCGGCTGAAGGTACCACTCCTGCGACAGAGATGACACCTCAGCATGACTGGCCCCTTCCCCCTGGCCCTGCCAACCCCAGTCTCCCCATGTGGGGGACCCAAGAGTCGGAAGCACTCACCCCTGGCACGGGGGCGGGTGAAGCCCGTGGCAGGCAAAGGGGAAGTTGCCTGAGAGACGCTCGAAGTCCTCCCGGGAGATGGTTCCGCGGCCTTCGGAGTCATAATGCTTGAACACAGACTTCAGAGGAGCACGGGATGGGGACAGTAAGGACCAGGACCAAGTCCTGCCCCCGTGGCCTGAGCTCCCCTGTGCAGATAGCTTCCTCCCGGCCCCCAGCCGCCAGGCCACGGTCCCCTCCTTACCTCCACCAGCTGCTCCACATGCCGACCCAGGGTGACTCTGTCAGGCTTGGCAGTCACGCCAGGGGCCCACTCCACCACCAGGGGCGCTTTGAAGGGGGAGGGTGGCTGGGCAGGGGCAGAGGGGCACGTCAGTCAGTGCCCGGGCTTGGGCTGGAGGACAGAGGCAGGGCGTCAGCGCTTACCAGGCTTCTGGGACAGCGGGGCTCCCGGGCATAGGAAAGCTCATAGATCTCATCCTCCGTGTAGAAGAGATCCAGGGAAAGCTGGGGGGTGGGGGGCAGGGCGTTACACACGCACCCCGGCCCCTGCCTCCTGCCTCCAGCCCGCGCCTGCCTGGACCCCCGCCCTCTTCCCGAAGCCCCTCTTCTCGGGGACCCCTAGGGTCCTCCCTCCCACTGAGCCCCATTCGCCCTCTATGCCGCTGTCCCCTCGCCCAGAAATGCCATCTTCTCACTGAGGCTTTTTTGGATCCTGTTTAAAATCGCAAACCTCTGTCACTTTCCACACCCATTAATGTCCTCCGTGGCTCTTATCCAGACGACCGTATGACTGATGTGCTGTCTCCCCCACTAGGATGTCAGCTCCACAAGCACAGCAATGTTTTTTTCTGACGTGCTTGCTACTGTGGACCCCAGGGCCTGAAGCAGCGCCCGGCACCCAGCAGCAGCTCAGCGAAGATCTGGGCTGATGGCCTTTCAGAATTAGCGGAGTGCAGGGCCTCGGGCACCTGCCATCTTAAGGCGGGGCCTGCTTCACGACAAGCCCCGCACTCAGAAGGGCCCCCACTTCGTTGAATCCTCTGCTGTCACTGTCCTGACATTCTTTCTTTCTTTCTTTTTTGCTGAGGAAGATTGGCCCTGAGCTACGTCTGCTGCCAATCCTCCTCTTTTTGCTGAGGAAGACTGGCCCTGAGCTAACATCTGTGCCAGCCTTCCTCTATTTTGTATGCGGGATGCCACCAGAGCATGGCTTGATGAGTGGTGTGTAGGTCCATGCCCAGGATCCAAACCCTGGGCTGCTGAAGTGGAACATGCAAACTTAACCACTCCGCCAATAGCCAGCCCCATCTTGACATTCTTAAGAATGTTGAAGAAAGAGCCCCACATTTTCACGTTGCACTTGGCCTTGCAAATTTTGTAGCTGGTCCTGTCTTAGAAGCTGAAAATCAGTCTTAGACGACAGGGCCTTCCGAACGCCAGTCTCTCTCAATTTATGGCTCCTTAGAATACAAGTATATGTATCAATAATATCTATAAAATAAAATATACCCAGAACCCACACTCCCAGCCTAGGACAGCGTGATGGGTAACATATGTTAACACACACGTTGTGAAGCTGGCCTGGGTTCAAATCCCGGTTTTACTGCCGTGGGACAGTGGGCAAGCGACTTTGCTTCGTGGGCCTCAGTTTCCCAATCTGTAGAATGGGCACGGTAAAGGTAGCGAGGGGGGAATGAAGTGCTCTGCAGAGCATGTGACACGG